CAGAAAACATTCGCTGCCTCACCCCATTCAGAAAACATTCGCTGCCTCACCTCATTCACAAAACTACCCTTGCGCACGTTTCCAATACGCTCGATTAACGAAGCATTACCATTGGCTGCCGGAGTGAGCACGGAGGCGGACCAACACAATACTCTCTAAATTAAGTTTATTCCTGGATCTGATTGGGTAAAGAGCCTCCCTGCAGTTCTTCGGATTCGTTCTTATCACTGTCACGGCGATTCGTATCCCCCACTCTAGTAAAACAATGTTTTTTTTTTTGACATTGAGGTCAAAACCTCAATGTGGTTTGAAGGTTTTATTTTGGGTTTGTCGTTGTCTGATGTTCTTCGTATGTGCTACAGTCAAATATCGACTTAATTCAAAATGAAAATTTATTTTCCAATTCAATTTTGGATAATTTTTTCTTCAAAACAGCAAGTTAAGGGACCTCTGGTAGGTTAGGAGGGCAGGAAGTTCTCCTAAGGTTTCAAAACGTCTTGAAAGCCGTTAATTGAGAGTTTCCCCTCCTAACCTAAGCCAGAGGACCCAAAACAGAAAACGAGACAGTACGTCACTTTCGTGAGACGATTTCGTTTTGAATTACGTCGATTTTTAGCCTGAATGCGCATACGAGCGAAAAGCGACGTAATTTATAAGAAGACGAGTTGGTCTTTCTCTCTCTCTCTCTCTCTCTCTCTCTCTCTCTCTCTCTCTCTCTCTCTCTCTCTCTCTCTCTCTCTCTCTCTCTCTGTACTAACATATAAACAACGCAGCAAAATATGATGACCAAGACCTCACACCAGAAGATTAAAAACGACGACGTTTCGGTCCTTCTTAAACCATTAATAAATTCATACTTGAAAATGATCCAGGACGGACCGAAACGTCGTCGTCGTCCCTTCACCTTCTAGTGTGTGGTCTGGTCAACATATCTTCAGCCACGTTATTGTAACTCATCGCCTGCAACGAAGCAACAGAAAGTCAGATTTGCAACTGTTGAGTTAGATACGAATTATATATTCTTTTTATACAGATTGAAATAATTGCCGCAATTGAATACGACAGAATATTACACGGCGGACACAGACAGGCTTTGTCATCGTCGAAATATACAAACGGAAACAAAGATTAAAAAAAGTATATTGAAAAACATATTGCTTGTTTGTTTTGACCCAAATCATTTATGGTTGAACAAACTGAGTTGAAAAGAATTAAGTTTTTACTTGAATCCAATATTTGGATAGACGACCACTTGACGCTCGGGTGATAGATATTGTAAACCCCTGACTTCCACTATTGTATGTATCTTCTAGTGTCTTCCACTGATGTATCTTCTAGTGTCTTCCACTGATGTATCTCCCAGTGTCTTCCACTGATGTATCTCCCAGTATCTTCCACTGATGTATCTTCTAGTGTCTTCCACTGATGTATCTCCCAGTATCTTCCACTGATGTATCTCCCAGTGTCTTCCAGTGATGTATCTCCCAGTGTCTTCCACTGATGTATCTCCCAGTGTCTTCCACTGATGTATCTTCCAGTGTCTTCCACTGATGTATCTCCCAGTGTCTACCACTGATGTATCTCCCAGTGTCTTCCACTGATGTATCTCCCAGTGTCTTCCACTGATTTATCTCCCAGTATCTTCCACTGATGTATCTCCCAGTGTCTTCCACTGATGTATCTCCCAGTGTCTTCCACTGATGTATCTCCCAGTGTCTCTTACTGATGCATCTCCCAGTGTCTCTCACTGATGTATCTCCCAGTGTCTTCCACTGATGTATCTCCCAGTGTCTTCCACTGATGTATCTCCCAGTGTCTTCCACTGATGTATCTCCCAGTGTCTTCCACTGATGTATCTCCCAGTGTCTTCCACTGATGTATCTCCCAGTGTCTTCCACTGATGTATCTCCCAGTGTCTACCACTGATGTATCTCCCAGTGTCTTCCACTGATTTATCTCCCAGTGTCTTCCACTGATGTATCTCCCAGTGTCTTCCACTGATGTATCTCCCAGTGTCTCTTACTGATGCATCTCCCAGTGTCTCTCACTGATGTATCTCCCAGTGTCTTCCACTGATGTATCTCCCAGTGTCTTCCACTGATGTATCTCCCAGTGTCTTCCACTGATGTATCTCCCAGTGTCTTCCACTGATGTATCTCCCAGTGTCTTCCACTGATGTATCTCCCAGTGTCTTCCACTGATGTATCTTCCAGTGTCTCCCACTATTATATTCTCTGTATTATCTTCCACTGTTGTGTCTCCCTGTACTTTCCACTGTTGTGTATCCTAATGTATCCTACTACTGTATCCTTCAGTGTCTACCGTTGTTCTTTTCCCCAGTATCTCCCCTGCTATTGAATTCCCACTATTGTATCTCCCATTATCCGTATTAAACACCGATAAAACCTGATTGTAAACAAAAAATATATCTATTAACATGATCTCTATTTTTTTTGTAATTTTTTTGTTTAATTTCTTACTCGTCTGATAAACGTTTTTGTTGAAGATTTTTTTTTGTCCATTTTTTTCTCCCAATTTTTATTTGCGTAGATTTTGTGTTAATCTTTGCTTTTGGTTAAAGTTTTTTTAGTCATTATTTTAATCGTGTGCCCAAATGCTTCCGTTCGCCTGCACACAATCCTGGCCAGCCATCTAAGTGATACACAGTATCACTAGTGATACTTCCAAGTGATACTAAGTGATAAGTGATCACATATCACTTAGAAGTTCCTTAAGTGACTTCTTTCCAAGTATGTTTTAATTTATTTATTAACATGATTCCCCTCTTTATTAGGCATCTTCAATTCCTCTTTTATTAGCTATCTTTACTTCCTCATTAGTAGTTTACTGGTTTACTTTATCCTCTCTTTATTAGCTTACGTATCATCTTTATTCTTTATTGGTTTTGTTGTTAACGTCACTCTTTTTTTTATTAGTTTACCTGTTATCGGTACTTCCACTTTATTAGTTTACCTGTTATCGTCATTACCGTTTTATTAGTTTACTTGTTATCTTCCCTGTCACTTTATTAGTTTACTTTTTGTCTTCCCTGTCACTTTATTAGTTTACTTTTTGTCTTCCGTGTCCCTTTATTAGTTTACCTTTTGTCTTCCCTGTCACTTTATTAGTTTTATAGTTATGTTCACCACCATCTTATTACTTTACTTATTTTCACTGCGAGTTTACTCAATATGATCAACTTCTTGCAAGTTGATCAAGTTGTTCGGTAGTAAAACCCGTGCTAAACTTTTGATCAAACACCGCCTACTTACTCTTCATTAACCGCACGATAACATCTTGACAGAAAGATAACATCTGAGTGTAAGATAACATCTGAGTGCTTTCGTTGCTCGACTCAGGCTTCTCCAGTGCCATGTTGGGTCGGTTGTACATACAAGAATGCTTTTTTGGAGTTAACTTAGAATTAGATCAGGAATTATAAAACTTCCTGATCTCATAATAGGAGTAGTTTCTTCTTATATTTTGGCTTCGTAATTGATTTGCTTTTGTTTGTCAGGTTCTGTCTTGGTTGTTTAATGAATTTCTATGTCACATACTGACTGTGTAATTTAATTTTGCTTTCTTTATTTCGTTTTGAGCAATTTTTGAAGTAATTGATAATTAATACACACACACACACACACACACACACACACACACACACACACACACACACATATATATATATGACAATGTCAGACCACGAAGGAAAAATGAAACAGGAATTTCCTTAAGTACTTTCGTAAATTAATACATCTTCAGAAGGAGTACAACTACCGGAGATATATGACCGGTAGTATTAATATACGAAGATGTATTAATATACGAAAGTACTTAAGGAAATTCCTGTTTTGCAACTTACTGTGGTTCCTGGTGCTATTAGGGTGGAGAAATAGCATGACCCATATTTAACACGTATGATCTTCCTCATTTAACATCTTCACTAACATAGCTAACACTCTTGAGGCCCAAACGCTTCCCCCAGAATCCAAAATTCTTGGATTAGACGTTTACACAGAGTCACCAATATTGTATATATTGTATGAAATATGAATCATACGTTCATACTTTCAATCATTGTACTGATTAACTAATTCCCTCTGCTTGAGCTGGACGGTAGAACGACGGTCTCGCTTCATGCGGGTCAGCGTTCAATCTCCGACTGTCCAAGTGGTTGGGCACCATTCCTTTCCCCCCGTCCCATCCCAAATCCTTTTTCTGACCCCTTCAAAGTGGTATTAGTCGTAAATGGCTTGGCGCTTTCTCCTCATAGTTCTAATTCCAATTTTGTTCGGACTTGTCGTCGGTGGGGGGACGGTCTGGTTCTTGCAGGACTGGTGTTCGATCCCCAATGGTGTATGGGGTTGAGCACTGTTCTTTCAATCTCATATTTTAGCTCCTTTTATTCCCATTCATCTCTAGGGCAGTATAATCATACTGGCTTAGCATTTTCTCCTCACAGTTATTACCTCTGTTTTTGTCTCTCTCCTTCTTCCCACCATCTTCTTTCTCCCTTTCTCTCTCTTCTCCTTGCTCTTCCAATCTCTCTCTCTCTCTCTCTCTCTCTCTCTCTCTCTCTCTCTCTCTCTCTCTCTCTCTCTCTCTCTCTCTCTCTCTCTCTCTCCTCTCTCTCTCTCCTCTCTCTCTCTCTCTCTCTCTCCCTCTCTCTCTCTGTCTCTCTCTCTCTCTCTCTCTCTCTCTCTCTCTCTCTCTCTCTCTCTCTCTCTCTCTCTCTCTCTCTCTCTCTCTCTCTCTCTCTCTCTCTCTCTCTCTTTCTCTCTCTCTCTCTCTGTCTCTTTCTCTCTCTTCTCCTTGCCCTTCCCCTTCCCTCCCTCTCTCTCTCTCCCTCTCCCTCTCCCTCTCCCTCTCTCCCTCTCCCTCTCCCTCTCTCTCTCTATCTCTCCTCAGCTTCACACTTCACACACTGGCTCTTGCACAAGCACTCAATAATGACCTCTCTGTAGTCTGGCCTGATGGGTGGCTTTGTAACCTTCCGCCCGATGACCCGATGCATATGCAACTGTGACACAGCCAACAAGTGAGGCTGCACCAGGTAAACTTTGAGCATATAAATTGCTTCGTTTACGTAAGTAAAAGTGATTCCCTCTACACCCCAAAAAAATTCTATGTAGGCACTCAAGAACCTTAACCAAAAATAAAGGTACCTGTATCTGAATCCTAATTTTTTTTACACCCATTTTGCAAGGTGGTTGAGTTTAAGCAGTGTTTTGTGTGTGTGTGTGTGTGTGTGTGTGTGTGTGTGTGTGTGTGTGTGTGTGTGTGGCGTGTGTGTGTGTGTGTGTGTGTGTGTGTGTGTGTGTGTGTGTGCGTGCGTGCGTGTGTGTGTGTGTGTGTGTGTGTGTGTGTGTGCGTGTGTGTGAGAACTCACCTATTAGGTGAGTACACACACACACACATACACAAAGGTGGAAGCTGAGTACCCAAATGAGCCACAGAGACATTAGAAAGAACCTTTTCCAGTGTCAGAGTAGTTAGTAAATGGAGTAAATGCACTAGGAAGTTAGTAAATGTACTAGGAAGTGATGTGGTGGAGGCTGACTCCATACACAGCTTCAAATGTAGATATGATAGAACCCAGTAGGCTCAGAAATCTGTACATCAGTTGATTGACAGTTGAGAGGCGGGACCAAAGAGCCAGAGCTCAAGCACAACTAGGTGAGTACACACCAACCAGTTACCAATAGCAACAATAACGATCAACTTCGTGGGGGGGGGGGGGGGTCAGGGAGGAGTCAGGGGTCAGGGAGGAGTTCAGTATATTGTTCAGTATATTGTTCAGTATATTGTTCAGTATATTGTTCTGATGGACCGATGGCATCAAGAACAATGCCCCTGGACTAATTAACGATGTAAACAGGGTAATTAGCCCAAGTAAGCCGTTGCTAACGAGCCTCAAACAGAGGATTAACTACTGATTATACCACAGGAATTTATATTGGTAGGACGGAAGAGCAGCTTTTGTGTTGTGGGGAAGGTAACGAGAGAGTCTCTCTCTCTCTCTCTCTCTCTCTCTCTCTCTCTCTCTCTCTCTCTCTCTCTCTCTCTCTCTCTCTCTCTCTCTCTCTCTCTCTCTCTCACATCAACAGGGTAGACAAAACTATTCAATTTACGAACAACTGTTAGAAACTTAATGGCAGTTTTCTGACCCTCGTACATAAGTAATGTAAGACCATAACTTTAGCATGCAGGTCCAACTTGGTGTCAACACAACATGGAACGAAAGGAAACTTGGAGAAATAGAGTAACACGTCACTAGGAAACAACAAGATATAATTAAACACAGTTATGAAAACAGACAAAAAATTAATACCTGTGAACATGAGAACCTGGTGAGGAATCATCACTAATTGCAATCAGGCGAATTAAAAGGTGAAGCAAGAGGACTAAACTAACTAAAGAAAAGCAGACGATGAGTCACAATAACGTGGCTGAAGTATGTTGACCAGACAACACACTAGAAGGTGAAGGGACGACGACGTTTCGGTCCGTCCTGGACCATTCTCAAATCGATTGTGAATCGACTTGAGAATGGTCCAGGACGGACCGAAACGTCGTCGTCCCTTCACCTTCTAGTGTGTGGTCTGGTCAACTAAACAAAAGTTCACTTATCTAGAAATTGAGACCTGCAGACTGGCAGCTCAAGGAGCTGTCCACACAGGCAGCCAGTGTCCGGACTGAGCTCTTTGTATTGTGAGACGGAGCTCTATATGGGGAGACGGAGCTCTATATGGTGCTGCCACCTGGCAATCCCTGCCTCTAATTACTGGTTTCAACCTAACTGCTGTGTAGGTTAGTGTGTGATGTCATTTGTTTCTACATTTCTTTTCTCTATGAACCCTGCAATTGTCTATTTTGTTTTGCTTACTCTCTAGATATTTCCTTGGTGATAGTGATAGTAGATAAGTAAATTTTGTAGTGAATTAAATTTTTCCTGGAGATAGTAACCTGAGGGCTCAGTTCATTAGGCCTCCGACGGTTAGAAAAGCGGGGGTCCAGGAGCTAGCACCTCGATCCAACAGGTACAAATAGTAAGCACACACATACACTAACTTCTGACTTATACCCCCCCAAAAAAGCTTAGTTTATGAGTCAAAAACCCTTAAACCTCACCCTTTCCACGATATATGAGGCTGAAGAACTCACCTCGCTTGAATATGGCCCAATTAAAAACAGCAAGAGTAACTGGTCGTAAAGATGAGCCTATGTTCAATTAGAGCTGTCAGCCCTCATGGGGGTGTTCAGGGGCCAGATTCACGAAAGCACTCACGCAAGCACTTACGAACGTGTACATCTTTCATCAATCTATGACGGCTTTGATTACATTTATTAAACAGTTTACAAGCATGAAAACTTCCCATTCAACTGTTGTTATTGTTATAAACATCCTCCTGGTGCTTCGGAGCTCATTAACTGTTTAAGCAAGTTTTCTTGAATTTTGTTTCATACGCAAAAATCATCGAATTTAGCAATATTTTGACGTTTATCATCCCCTTTTCCTTTATGTGACTTAAACAAAATATCATCGAATTAGGCAATATTTTGCCGTTTTCCACGTTTTTGTGAATTTACAGTCTATGGGTATTAATTCATATATATACGATAAAAATGATGCAAACACAATTGATTAGATAATAACCTTAAATACTTCATTTTCAATCATCTATTGTTTCTCGTTAAAATACTGAGTAAGATATTGAAAAGGGGAGAAGTTCTGTTTTTATTGCATACATCGACGTTTCAGCCGGAAAAGAGCGATTTCGTGTACATCTTCCATCGGTACTATAAACGTAAAATCAGTAACATTTTAGTTAATACTAATGAAAACACATTGATTTTATCATTTGTATTGGAAACAACATTGTCATATGTCTTTTCTTGGATCTAAATAACACGAAACCTCGCTCTGTGATTTGAAGTTAAAATCCTCAAATATGGTTATATATTGACTTTTTTCACGTTTTTCATGTAGTTTGATATTACGTAAATATATTCATTTTTACCAATATTTCGATACTATTTCATGTAGTATCACGATATGTGATTTGGCCTTCAAATCTCAGAATTTCGCATAATATTGCATTTTAAGCAAGTTTTCTTGCATTTTGTTTCGTACGAAAAATCATCGAATTTAGCAATATTTTGACGTTTATCATCCCCTTTTCCTTTATGTGATTTAAACAAAATATCATCGAATTAGGCAATATTTTGCCGTTTTTCCACGTTTTGTGAATTTTCAGTCTATGGGTATTAATTCATATATATACGATAAAAATTATGCAAACACATAATTGATTAGATAATAACCTTAAATACTTCATTTTCAATCATCTATTTGTTTCTCGTTAAAATACTGAGTAAGATATGAAAAGGGGAGTAGTTCGGTTTTATTGCATATATCGACGTTTCAGCCGGATTAGAGCGGTTTTACGTGTACATCTCCCTCGGTAATATAAACGGAAAATCAGGAACATTTTTGTTAATTCTAATGAAAACACATTGATTTTTATCATTGTATTGGAAACAACATTGTCATATGTCTTTTCTTGGATCTAAATAATACGAAACCTCGCTCTATGATTTGAAGGTAAAATCCTCAAATATGGTTAAATAGTGACTTTTTTCACGTTTTTCATGTAGTTTGATACTACGTAAATATATTCATTTTAACCAATATTTCGATTCTATTTCATGTAGAATCACGATATGTGATTTGGCCGTCAAATATCAGAATTTCGCAAAATATTGCATTTTAATAATTGGAAACAAAGCCGCCAAAGATTGAGAAAAGATGTACAGGTTCGTAAGTGCTTTCGTGAATCTGGCCCCAGCTCTCTACCTCCGCCAGGATCCCACATGCTGCTTTCAACACCACAGTTTTCACTACAATTCCTCTCTATTGTATATTCTTGTGTTAATGGTTCATTCTTAAAAGTTATCCTCACTAAAATTTTAACTGCAGGTTAAAAAATACGATACGACTGTTATCACCTTTGGTGTAATCCGTAAGTTAGGCCAGGAAGCCTTATTAATAACCCACCAGAGGGTGATTTAAGACTCATGTTGTAACATCAAACTTGCTGGTTAGTCATTAAGATATTGTGTTGATCTAAGTAGCCCTCGAGAGGTTGATAGGCCTTAGGGCCAACACCTAATTTGCTGGTTGGTTAATAAGTTGGTTTGGTGGCCTAAACAACCCTCCAGAGGTTGATAGGCCCTTAGGTCCAACACCAAACCTGCATTTTCCAAGCCACGGGAGGCAAGCTACCGGCTTCAATCAATATTTCAATTAGATTCGCACTTTAATCGTATGCTTATAAAACTTGTATTATGACAGAATAAACACCGGAATCCATTAGTTTTACTCTGAATTATATTTGAATAATTTATTCTGTCTTGCCAAACTTGTTGTATATTCAATTTTTATTGAAACACGACAAGCGTTACCTAATTAAATTTTACCTTATATATAGTACTGACGGTCTCTGACTCTCAGCCTTGACTAGGTGGAACGTCTGGTTTCCTACGCTTCTGGGTAGACAAAACCACTTCACATTTGACGTTTGTCACTAGTGTCAACCAATTAAATTTAAACAAAATTTTCGAAATAAATTACAGTAGGCAAAAATAATGATCCAGGATTTGAAGCTAATTATATAATTAATTTTGGTCTAGTTTTTAAGCCTCTTACATTATTGTATAATATACAAATGTAGCGGTTTAGTCAACATCAATTATATTAATTCCACTATTCAATTATTTTTTCACGCCAAACCCTAAATTTTTTCATAAATATTCGTATTTGTCATATATCTTCAGTTCGGAGGCTAGAGCATAGACTATATTCACTGAACATTAAGGAATATAAGTTTTTTAAAGAACGTTTTAGAAACACAGTGAGCATAAGAAGGATCGAGTGACAAAGAGAACATGACAGGGGTCCAGTGAGAGCATGATTGGGTCGAGTGAAAGAGGATTGAGTGGGTCAAGTGATAGGAGATGGTGAGGTCAAGTGATAGGAGATGGTGGGGTCGAGAGAGAGAGAGAGAGAATATTTAAGTATGAGAGAGAGACCATTTCAGACATCGAGAATGAGAGAGAGAGCATACCAAAGGTCGAATGAGAGCGACTATGTGTCTCAAGTCGAGTGAGAAACAAAGCCAAGCAGACGATAAATAAATAAATAACATTCCTACTGAAACATTACCTTCTGCAAAACCTACTATGATTCTCCGACTGTTAATTTGATTTTGTAACAAAATTTAATAACAGGGAAAAGGTTCATGTTTTCCATTTTTCTTTCCAGGTGGGAATTTGCTGTAATCCTTCAACCAGTACGTGAGTAGAACAGTTATTGCACTCACCCGCCTGGGGGGGGGGGGTTGCTCGAAGAATACAATTAAAATAAATAATAATAATAAAATAAAATAAAAACATGAAATAAAATGCAAATTGAAAAGTTGTAGATGAGCGTTAGAAAAAAAACTTTTTTACGGGTGGTTATACTAATATATATATATATATATATATATATATATATATATATTATATATATATATATATATATATATATATATATATATATATATATAATATTTACAAGTCAGTTAAGGAGATAAGGCTGTGTTGACAATGCCAGCCTCCACCTGCTAACTATTCAGAAGGAGGACTAAATGCCTCGTTTAGTGCCTCAGATTGCCGTGACAGATCAGGGCACTCAATAACTACTATAGCCAAGCCTGTAGTTAAGCTATGTCAATGTCATATGCTGAAAAAGAATTCTCTGTCACATGACCAGATGATTAAAATATCTCACCTGACATTTCACTGTATGGAATAAAGTTTGACAGGAACTTGTCCGTCTATTTTATACATGCTCTTGAAGCATATATAAAATAGGGTGGTGAGTGGGGTGAAAAGGGGGTGGTAAGTGGGGTGAAAAGGGGGTGGTAAGTGGGGTGAAAAGGGGGTGGTAAGTGGGGTGAAAAGGGGGTGGTAAGTGGGGTGAAAAGGGGGGGGTGGTAAGTGGGGTGAAAAGGGGGTGGTAAGTGGGGTGAAAAGGGGGTGGTAAGTGGGGTGAAAAGGGGGTGAAAACACCACCTTCATTCCAGCCTGTCAGCCTTGAATTCAGCCTTAAACCATTAACTTGCATTCAACTCACTGCCAACACAAAGCCAGAGAAGCTGAAGAGATATGTCTGAGCTCACACTACGAGACGAAAATAGAGACAAGAGAGACTCCAGTTTGCTCTCACGATCAGACAAGCGTTAGATATAAGGCACGCAGGCGACGAGTCACAATAACGTGGCTGAAGTAATCACAATGGACTTGAGAATGGCCCAGGACGGACCGAAACGTCGTCGTCCCTTCACCTCCTAGTGTATGTGGTCAGGTCAACATATAAGGCACGTTTTGCCCCCTGCCACAAGTCTCCAGACGCAAGCACGGCACCCACACACACACCACCATGCACCGAGGCATCAACTCATGCCATGAATTCCAAGTAGTTCTGTGTTTATCATGCTCCCCCACACCTTACCATCCACTCACACTTCCAGTAACCAATACAGAGTGCTGTGTCCTACCCTTGTGTTACGGCCACCAATACAACAACATTTGACAAACGAATATGCAGAGAGCAAGTCACAATAACCTGACTGAACATAAAAGACGCAAATCGCAAATATATAGGAAAAGATGACGTTTCTGTCCGTCCTTATCAACTTTTTCATTATTGCAGCTCTATATAACTGTACTGAAAAGTGATAGAAGAGGCAGAAAAGTGCCTTCAGAGATACAAAAGTGCCATCAGAGGCATAAAAGTGCCGTCAGAGGTAAAAAAGAGGAACAATCAGAGGTACAAAAAATGACATAAAAGATTTAAAAGTTCCATCAGAGGCGCAAAAATACCATCAGAAATAGAAAAGTGCTACCAAAAAGCACCATCAGAGTCACAAAAAGCACCATCAGAGTCACAAAAAGCACCATCAGAGTCACAAAAAGCGCCATCAGAGTCACAAAAAGCACCATCAGAGTCACAAAAAGCACCATCAGAGTCACAAAAAGCACCATCAGAGTCACAAAAAGCACCATCAGAGTCACAAAAAGCACCATCAGAGGCACAAAAAGCACCATCAGAGTCACAAAAAGCACCATCAGAGTCACAAAAAGCACCATCAGAGGCACAAAAAGCACCATCAGAGTCACAAAAAGCACCATCAGAGTCACAAAAAGCACCATCAGAGTCACAAAAAGCACCATCAGAGTCACAAAAAGCACCATCAGAGTCACAAAAAGCACCATCAGAGGCACAAAAAGCGCCATCAGAGTCACAAAAAGCGCCATCAGTCACAAAAAAGCACCATCAGAGTCACAAAAAGCGCCATCAGTCACAAAAAAGCACCATCAGAGTCACAAAAAGCACCATCAGAGTCACAAAAAAGCGCCATCAGAGTCACAAAAAGCACCATCAGAGGCACAAAAAGCACCATCAGAGTCACAAAAAGCACCATCAGAGTCACAAAAAGCGCCATCAGAGTCACAAAAAGCGCCATCAGTCACAAAAAGCACCATCAGAGTCACAAAAAGCACCATCAGAGTCACAAAAAGCGCCATCAGAGTCACAAAAAAGCGCCATCAGAGTCACAAAAAGCACCATCAGAGTCACAAAAAGCGCCATCAGAGGCACAAAAAGCGCCATCAGTCACAAAAAGCACAATCAGAGTCACAAAAAGCACCATCAGAGTCACAAAAAGCGCCATCAGTCACAAAAAGCACCATCAGAGTCACAAAAAGCACCATCAGAGTCACAAAAAGCACCATCAGAGGCACAAAAAAGCGCCATTAGAGGCACAAAAAGCGCCATCAGTCACAAAAAGCACCATCAGAGTCACAAAAAGCACCATCAGAGGCACAAAAAGCGCCATCAGAGTCACAAAAAGCGCCATCAGTCACAAAAAGCACCATCAGAGTCACAAAAAGCACCATCAGAGGCACAAAAAGCGCCATCAGAGGCACAAAAGCACTATCAGAGTCACAAAAAGCACCATCAGTCACAAAAAGCACCATCAGAGTCACAAAAAGCGCCATCAGAGGCACAAAAAGCTCCATCAGAGTCACAAAAAGCACCATCAGAGGCACAAAAAGCGCCATCAGAGGCACAAAAAGCACTATCAGAGTCACAAAAAGCACCATCAGTCACAAAAAGCACCATCAGAGTCACAAAAAGCGCCATCAGAGTCACAAAAAGCACCATCAGAGGCACAAAAAGCGCCATCAGTCACAAAAAGCACCATCAGAGTCACAAAAAGCACCATCAGAGGCACAAAAAGCACCATCAGAGTCACAAAAGCACCATCAGAGGCACAAAAAGCGCCATCAGTCACAAAAAGCACCATCAGAGTCACAAAAAGCACCATCAGAGGCACAAAAAGCACCATCAGAGTCACAAAAAGCGCCATCAGAGGCACAAAAAGCACCATCAGAGGCACAAAAAGCACCATCAGTCACAAAAAGCACCATCAGAGTCACAAAAAGCACCATCAGAGTCACAAAAAGCGCCATCAGAGTCACAAAAAGCACCATCAGTCACAAAAAGCACCATCAGAGTCACAAAAAGCGCCATCAGTCACAAAAAGCACCATCCGAGTCACAAAAAGCGCCATCAGTCACAAAAAGCACCATCAGAGTCACAAAAAGCACCATCAGTCACAAAAAGCGCCATCAGAGTCACAAAAAGCGCCATCAGTCACAAAAAGCGCCATCAGAGTCACAAAAAGCACCATCAGTCACAAAAAGCACCATCAGAGTCACAAAAAGCACCATCAGAGTCACAAAAAGCGCCATCAGAGTCACAAAAATCGCCATCAGTCACAAAAAGCACCATCAGAGTCACAAAAAGCACCATCAGAGGCACAAAAAGCACCATCAGAGTCACAAAAAGCACCATCAGAGGCACAAAAAAGCCCAGCAGAGGCACAAAAGTGCCAGTAAAGGTACACAAGAATTAACAGAGGTACACACAAGACTCCACAGAAGCAAAGGGGCCAGATGATCAAAGGAAGACTTTTATGGAAAAGCCTCGTAATCAAAATATTTTTTTTCCCTCAGGTATTCACTGGCCGGATGCGGACTGTGGGCCGGATACCACATCCCTCCCTACTTTCTCTCACTCTTCTCCATATCTCCCTTCTATTCCTTTTTCCCTACCTCTCTCCTTCCTTCCTTTGCTTCAATCTCATCCCTTCTCTCCATCTCTCACCTATTCATCCACCCATTATTCCCTCCTCTTATCCACCATCTATCCCTTCTTCCTCCCCCCTATCCCTGTTGCCTTTCTCTCCATCTATCCATCCATTCTCTCTATCCATTCTATTTACCTGGAGTCTAGGAGACTCGAACTCTGAACCCCCAAGTGCGTTAGGGCGACGATCTCTCTATCCACACTCCCTTACCCGAGGTGCTCAATATATATATCCCTCTTGGTGTTCCGTATATTCCTCTTGCTGTTCAATTTAATTTCATGCAAAGATGTATTCGACGAACACTTTATACATAGACAAGTGAACGGCAGCAACAAAACACATACATATAAATTTGAATAACAGTGTTGGTACTAGATTTAAAGAATTCTATACTGTGTTTGAGTTAACGGGGCTGGGGCCAGACTCACGAAGCAGTTACTCAAGCACTTACGAACCTAGGGCCAGATTCACGAAGCAGTTACGCAAGCACTTACGAACGTGTACATCTTTCCACAATCTTCGACGGCTTTGGTTACATTTATTAAACAGTTTACAAGCATGAAAGCTTACCAATCAACTGTTGTTATTGTTATAAACAGCCTCCTGGTGCTTCGGAGCTCATTAACTGTTTAATAATTGTCAACAAAGCCGCCAAAGATTGAGAAAAGATGCACAGGTTCGTAAGTGCTTGCGTAACTGCTTCGTGAATCTGACTCCTGGAATATAACATTGAGAGCGCTCAACGCATTGATCTCACGCTCAAATTCTACGATCACTCTCAACTCTACGATCACACGACACCTAAATGGTGTCACACAGATGGTGACACCATCACATAAATGGTGTCAGTAAACATCAAATACAATAGTGGAAAAACATATGTAACTTGACTTCACTGTACTTATATATTTGCCAGACTGATCCTAACTAAATCAAAAAAATTTTGTGATTATAATTACGCAGAGATGAAGCATCAGAGATGAAGCAGCAGCATCACAGATGAAGCAGCAGCATCGCAGATGAAACAGAAGCACCACACATGAAGCAGAAGCACCACAGATGAAGCAGGAGCACCACAGATGAAGCAGGAGCACCACAGATGAAGCAGGAGCACCACAGATGAAGCAGCAGCACCACAGATGAAGCAGCAGCACCACAGATCTGCACACCCCGGCACATATATTCTCACAGCAGTAGCCGTGGCAACAAGGAGAGAGAGAGACGCTGCCACAAGGCACTATGCCACACATGACAGAGCACACAAGAGAGCTCCGGGTGGTGCTTGACCCACATGGAAATAAGACAACGAACAGGACAAAAAATATCTAAAACTGGAGACATCTTCCGAGAGAAAATTGCCATGTATTTTTGGCTATATTTAAATGTTTATTCTAGTTTGAAGAAAATCACTGGCGATTAAAAATGAAATCACGAAGAATATGTCTATATCCATATATCTATATATGTAAATATGTCTATATACTGTATATGAAAGAGAACGTCTGTCTGTTTACCAGTCTAGAGGTATAGAGCTAGCCACAAACAACATGGCCGGATAGGGGTCGGTTCTATTCCTCTCATTAAACAGAATAGGACTTGGGAAGGTGGCAGGCGGATTCCCTAGGATTTTTCCCCTATTTACGCAAACTTCGCAAAATATATAGTAATCTAAGGCCTATATTTCCGTGCAGGTACACACACACTGCTTGCAGCAACAGACTCTCTTAAAAATAACTTTAAACTTCAAAGAGCTCAACTAAATTAATTCCGTCACAATGGGTGGAAATCCGTCTCCGGGAGCCATGTGGCCGCATATGAAGAGAATTGACAAATCCACAGCCATTGTTACGCCAAGTATGGAAGGACATGCTTTCCTCCTCTCTTCAATCGATATAAAATTGTTATATTCCTGTTCAGTTCAAGACATTCCCGCTTAGTCGGTACAGGCAAGATATTGGTACAGAGAGGACTATGGTACAGGTACAGGCAAGATAATGGTACGGGGAGGACAGTGGTACAGGTACAGGCAAGATAACTGCGTAGAGTGGTACAGGCTGCGGGCCGCTCCAAGCAACAGGCTAGTGGACCAAACTCTCATAAGTCAAGCCTGGCCTCGGGCCGGGCTTGGGGAGTAGAAGAACTCCCAGAGCCCCATCAACCAGGTATATGTGGGCCTGCGGGCCGCTCCAACCAACAGCCTAGTGGACCAAACTCTCACAAGTCAAGTCTGGCCTCGGGCCGGGCTTGGGGAGTAGAAGAACTCCCAGAACCCCATCAACCAGGTATCAACCAGGTATAATAGTACAAGGAGGACTGGTAGTCATCATATAAATTCGTTAACTTTAGTCTGAATATATTGATTTGATATGAAAATAAAGTTTTAACCGTTGTTTATAATGACACAACTTCCATTAACAATGTATTTATTATTAAGAGAAATACGCATAATAAACAGTATATTGTATTTTGAACCTTATGAACTAAAAAGTCTGATACATAAATGTAAAGTAAATCTTCTATTAAGGCCTATGAAGAAATTCGAATCAAAATATCTTTCATATATATAACTAGGCACATACATATTTATATAATTATTATCTTGGAAACCCGACACGACAGTGATTAGTACTCGTTACGTTAAAGGAATATGTAATAACAGAGTGGTCTTTATTAAACAATAAACAGGCAGTTCGTAGACTATTAAAAACTAAACGACAGAGTATTGGAACTACAGGTTCAATAATGTATCATTGATGGATTTCACGTCACTTATGAAAAACAGATTTGACTGAATTCATGATTCGATTCGGATGATAATTCTGTATGCGTTCGTAACTTAAGTAAGCCTAACCTTAACTACCCTAACTTTGCAGGTAACCATCAAAGACTTAACCCACCGTAACCTAACTTACCCACTTCAAGACCTCGAACCAACACAGAAACAGTTAAGCAAGAACATGGAACACGCAATAGCCTTAATACCCCATATGCCATTCATCTTCTTGTTCATCTCAATCATGTCCTGTATCACCTCACCCCCAACCGAATATATGGCTTGATAGAGCACGTAAAATTTGTCTTTGAAAATGTAAGGAGTGCCTTGCGAAACGCTTCCCTAGGCGTCAGACCATAAATACAGTGTGAAAATGAACTTTGGACAGTTAATTTTTCAACTACCCTCGACATTGAAGAAAAACATAAGAAATATTGAGAAGATTCGTGTTAGAATCATTAATCTTACCTTTTCGGTTATATTCAACAACATATGTTTACAAGAAAGACTGCTAATATTATATATATATATATATATATATATATATATATATATATATATATATATATATAGAATATATATATATATATATATAATATTATATCTATATATAGAACATATTTACACTTCTCTCTCTCTCCTTCTCTCGAGCATCCTTCTCAGCCCTCCTCCCTCTCTCTCTCTCTCTCTCGATTTTCTCTCTCTCTCTCTCCCTCTCTCTTTCTCTCTCTCTCTCTCTCTCTCTCTCTCTGCCTCTCTCTCTCTTCCGCTCTCTCTCTCTCTCTCTCTCTCTCTCTCTCTCTCTCTCTCTCTCTCTCTCTCTCTCTCTCTCTCTCTTCTCTCTCTCTACAAGTGTTGAGGGAGATGCAGCGGCTTCACTGTGGGGACCTGTACCTGGCAAGTCTCAGCCCCTGAAGTAGGCTGCCCCATGAGGCAGGCTGCCCCATGAGGCAGGCTGCCCCATGAGGCAGGCTGCCCCATGAGGCAGGCTGCCCCATGAGACAGGCTGTACAGCTGCAGATCTATGTTACCTCAGGCGTTTTCTTTACAAAAGGCAACAAATTTCTGAAAATACAAAAATCCAACTTTGCGGAAAAGTATAACGAAGCAAACTTTAGGAATAGTTGAGCTTGACAAGAACACGTGGGTAAAAATAGCTAATTTTTTGTCATAACTCGACAAATAAATTACAAGCTCAGACCGCCACACACTTGGCATTTTATTTGTTAAACCACGACAAATGCAAGAAAAGTTTGAAGCGCAAGGAAAGTTTGAAAATGCAAGAAAAAGTAGAATTTCTTAAGAACTTTGTAATAGTTGCACCGTCTTTTTGTGATGATATTTGCCAATTTATTTGTTTTTGCTGTTTATCACGAAGAAAAAATGGGGAAGGAGGTGTTTACTTACACACTATTATCTTCTTACACCATTCATTACCAATTCTCTCTCTCTCTCTCTCTCTCTCTCTCTCTCTCTCTCTCTCTCTCTCTCTCTCTCTCTCTCTCTCTCTCTCTCTCTCCTCCCTTCACCCCTCAATAATTCTCACATTCTCCTTCTCCTATCTTCTGGTTCTCCGCTTCCCTTATCTCTGACTTGCGGTTCGTCTTATTTCCTGTTAGTCAATCAATACGCCGTCACCTGACCTCAATACGGGGGTTCGTAGGTGGTAGTTTTCGGGGAGTCATTAAAGTGTCACACAGAGACGCTGGCGCTGAATTTATGGCCGCCAAAGTAAGCGTTTGTGCCCTGGATTAATTAATCTTTATGATGCGCGAATATTTCTTCTAGACGTGTTCTTTTTATCGTTTATTTTATTTTATTAATATTTTTTTATTATTTCCCGTATTGTTTATTTGTATTTTTATGTCTGTCTGTCTACTATCGTATTCGTTCGTCCGTTTGTCTGTGTATTCATATGTCTGTTTCTCCATTCAGTTTCGGGTCAATCCGCACGTCCATCTGTCATTCTGTGTGTCTACCGTCTTGTGTCAGA